AAGACTGATGAATCACAGACCTGTACCTGTGAAACAAATAATACATCATGTTAATTAGTTGAATTTAATTTTTTTTTAAAAATCACCTGAAATAAAAGACAACTTATTAAAAAAAAAAAAGAAATATTGTTGCGTGAGCCTTTGTGGTTAATTACATGGCATTCATGTTGTACCTCAGAAGTCTCCTCAGGGGCACCTAGCTGGCTCAGTCAGAAGAGCATGTGACTTGGGGCATCTGGGTGGCTCAGTCGTTAAGCATCTGCCTTCGGCTCAGGTCATGATCCCAGGGTCCTGGGATCAAGCCCCACATTGGGCTCCTTGCTCGGCGGAGAGCCTGCTTCTCCCTCTCGCACACCCCCTTCTTATGTTCCCTCTCTCGCTGTCTCTCTCCCTCTCTCTGTCGAATAAATAAGTGGAATCTTTAAAAAAAAAAAAAAAGAAGAGCATGTGACTCTTGATCTTGGGGTCATGAGTTCGAGCCCCACATTGGGTGTAGGGATTACTAAAAAAATAAATAAACTTAAAAAAAAAAAACCTCATCCTCAGAGATATCTTCAAGAGACACCTCATCTAATGTCATCTCCAGTCTATCACATCACCCATTTTAATTCTCTGCATAGCAGAGAAAACTATCATTTCTGACTTTTCTTGTTTGTCTATTTATGTTTCTCCAACAAGAATGTAAGTTCCCTGACTATAAGGACCTTGATTCTTGTTTACTGCTGTATCCTCAATAACTAAAACAGTGCTCAATAAATATTTGTTGAGGAAGGAAGGAAGGAAGGAAGGAAGGAAGGAAGGAAGGAAGGATGGAAGGAAGGAAGGAAGAACTGTGGTTTGAATGTTGTGCCCTCCACTCCAAATTCATATGTTGCATCCTAATCTCCAAAGGTGATAATGGTAGTAGGTGGGGTCTTTGGGAAGTAATTAGGTCATGAAGGCAGAGCCCTCATGATTGAGATTAGTATTCTTATAAAAGAAACCATAAAGTTCTCTAGTCCCTTCCTCCATGTAAGGATAATAGTTAAGTCTGCAATCCAAAAGATGGTCCTCACCCAACCATGCTGGCACCCAGATCTCAGACTTCCAGCCTCTAGGACTGTAAGCAATTAATTTCTAACCCCTGGTCTATGGAAGTTTGTTATAGCAGCTCAAACTAAGATACAAGGGTATAGAACTATTCTTATAACAGTTGCCTTACAGGGTTCCTCAACCTAGTATCTTTCTACTTGTGAAGATATGGTCCAAATCCAACAATCTTTTTTTTTTTTTTCAAGATTTTATTTATTTATTTGAGAGAGAGAATGAGAGAGAGCACATGAGAGGGGGGAGGGTCAGAGGGAGAAGCAGACTCCCCACCGAGCAGGAAGCCCGATGCGGGACTCGATCCAGGGACTCCAGGATCATGACCTGAGCCGAAGGCAGTCGCTTAACCAACTGAGCCACCCAGGCGCTTCAAATCCAACAATCTTGAGAGCAATTCAATAATCCTTTGATCCTACTTAGTGATCTTTTTTTCTTTTCACTTAATATGTATATGTTGCTTGACTCTTGAAAATTTCCCAATATTTATGGGAAACAACCTACACCTGACCATCTGTAAATGAGAACATTTTTCTTCTTGTTAATTTCACATGTGACAACAAATAATTCATTTGCAATTAGAAATAAATCCATGAAAAATCACAACACAATAAGCAAAGTGCAGATGATGGCTTTGTATATTTAAGGCAAAAATAGTTTGGGGATTCTATGGAATATACACAGTACTACTAGCCAGCTATTTGGCATCAAGTAGATTTTTTTTTCAAGTAGATCTTTTTAACTTAACTGAATTGTTCACTTTTAACAAACTATATTAGCAGCACTGAACCAAATAATTGAAGCCTAGTATCAAGTTGTGCTTCTTTCAGCCCTTGAGGGAAGTATGAAGAGGGAGGTAAAGGCAAGGACTTCAAAAGCATAGGGAGATACGTGAATTCTCCAGCAGTTCCTACTGGTTTTCTCCATACTCTCAGTGACTTGATTAACTTTAAGAAAAGCATCAGGTCTCCACCGACTTTCTTTGGAGGCAGGTTTAGGGAAGATTCAAAATAACAGTTAATGGTTTAAGATCTATTAAAAATACTTCCCTTACTAAAATTAACAAGTCAGGAAATGACAGATGTTGGTGAGGATGCAAAGAAAGGGGAACCCTCCTACACTGTTGGTGGGAAGGCAAGCTGGTGCAGCCACTCTGGAAAACAGTATGGAGGTTCCTCAAAAAGTTGAAAATAAAGCTACCCTATGACCCAGCAATTGCACTACTGGGTATTTCCCCAAAGATACAAATGTAGTGATCCAAAGGGG